AGCAAAATTAAATGAATGTGCTATTCAATGAATGTAAAGTGCTTTTGGATGTGTAGCTCTAATCACAGCTTGGACACCATTATATTTCCCTGCCATATTACTGGCTCCGTCATAGCCATGCCCATACAAGTAGTTATACTCAATCCCTAATAGCACTGGAGTTCCTCGGGACTTTCCCGTTTGATTCCGGTATCGGAATTCCTGTTGGAAATCCTTGGGAAATCAAAAGAAGTTCCTTGAGCTATATTATTTTATTTAAGATCTTCCCGATTAATTTTGTATTGGGAGTTTCTTTAGGTAATCCATTGGAACTTTAATGGATTTTCTTACTTTAACCATACTATAGGCCTATATGTACCGGTACATCAAATTAAATTTTTAAATTCTGAACGAAACATCGACTTTATTTAAATCATTCTATAAATGTATTGATGTGTTTTTTCATTTTTATTTGTGATTAAAGTTTTTAATATTATAGTTGAAATTTGAAACTAAAAAAAAAAAAAATAGTCGCATAACGATTTAACTGATTTATTTAACTGATATTTAAGATATATTATCTTATACTAAGGCCGGGGTCTATACACGGCGGATTCCGCCGCGGTTCGACCGCCGCGTATTTCGCGGCGGTTTCCGTCAATTTCAAAATGCATTTATATCGGAGTAGCTATACGCGTTTTCAACCGCGGCGGAAAACGCCGGTTGGCTTGCGTTTTGGCGGACGAACGCCGAAGTAATAAAAACGCAATCTCCTAATTTTACATTGTTTTAAATTAGGATGGGCTATACTGGTTACGGAAAACGCTGCGTTTTCACTATAATTTTATGAATACGATAATTTTAAGTGGATATTCAATATTTCATCTATTTAATTTAATCCTAACTACCTAGTAAATAAATAATAAATAAATTATATATTTTATAATTAGGTTAGATAATAGATAACAAAAATATAAATATTTAATTATTTCATATTTTATAAGTTGTATCAAAATATCTAAGTTTATTACATATTCATATTACATATGTAATTACATATCAATTTCTTTTAACACTATCTATTGAACTTTTTTACGCTTGTTATTTACAAAATTGTTCTTAATACTTCTATAAATTAAAATTAAGTAAAATCACAAATTGTAAATACTAATTATAAATTAAAATAATTTATTTACTTAGATATTTTGATACAACTTATCAAATATGAAATAATTAAATATTTTTATTTTTGT